TTGTATTGAACGCTGCCAGTTTCAGATCATGTACATCCACTCTCTTCCTTTCTTCGATTATCTCGTTGCTGAAGCCAGCAAGGTAATTTCGGATTATTTTCACCGTAATTATCGAAAGCAATCTTGAAATCTAACTTTATTTGCGATATAACTTCATCCACATATTGTTTGTTTGCAACATCAACGGCATCTGTTGGCAGTTTCACGTTACACATCTTCAAATGACCAACATCGATATCACCGGTTGGAGTATGTGAAAATCCAGATCTGACTGTCACCATCTGAGCTGAGCGTGGAAACGAGCCACGTCCGAATTTGTCGAGACTCATTATGCTAATGACTAAAGTATTGTACGTTATCGATAATGGTCGGCACTTTGCATCGCCAATTATTAGCCCCTTCACTCATAGACATGTCTTGAAAGTGTCACAGAAGTGTCAAGGAAGTGTAACGGAAGTTCACGGAAGTGTCAAGGAAGTGTCACGGAACTGTCACGGAACTGTCACGGAAGTGTCAAGGAAGTGTCACGGAACTGTCATGGAAGTTGTCATGGAAGTGTTACGGAAGTATCACAGAAATGTCACACATGTTTTATTATGCCTGCCTCTTCTAATTCATTCAAGATGGCAACAATCTCGTTATCGTTTGATGTATTTCCGGCTTGCTGTGATGCAATGAGCAACTTCAATCTATCTACCAATTCGTTTGGATCATCCCAATACATGTATTCGATAGGTGCTGTGTTGTATGTCAACTTCAAACCACGACCACTGGAATTGGATCTGAACATTGGACGAATAATTTCTACGTATTTGAGTCTAGAGGAAGACTTCATACGTCCTGCAGAATTCAGATGAGCTTTGGTGAGCAAGAGTATTTGCTTGTATGGGTTCGTATCATCTTTGGCAAAGGATGGATCATTATAGAAGAGTAATTGATAGAGGCCTGGAGTGCCACGGAACCGAAAGCCATCAAGAAGTATATCTCCAGTTCTTCGATGGAAATTCATTTCTTTTCCGTTGAGGGACCATTTCGATGTTACTGGATCATATTTGGGGCCATAAACCGTATCGATATTTTCATCATTTGTCCAGTATTCAGTCAGATATTTTTGAGCCATCGCAGGATACTGATCAACGTTATCATGTATTGCAGCCGGTGAGATATTTTCACTTTCTACAAAAAGTTCATCATCAGCATCGTCATAACCATCCTCATCATCATCTTCAGTATGCCCAACATTATCAGCCACATCCATCATAGGTATGAAATTAGTTTGGTTCAAATCCGATTGCTCCCTCTCCAACTCCTCATCCTCTTCCTCCTTCTTCTCCTTCTTCAACCCCAACGATTTTGCTCTGCTTCGCTTGATGTTTGAAAGCGTTCCATCGAGTTTTTCTTTCATTACCTTGGACGTGGTGGCAATTTGTTTCAAAGGTGATGTCAGTGGTTGGAATATTGACTGTAACGCATCATCATCCTCAGACTTGCCCAATTTCAGTGCTAAATATTTTCTTCTGATTGATTTCGATAGTTCGTTGATTTTTTTCTTGCGCAGCACATCAGCAACATCATCATGCATCTTGGTTGACGTCATCTTGATGAATGGTCCAGAGATCACAGTCTTATGAACTTATCGAAACCATTTCTATATCTGCCAGCATTCATATCGAAAGTTTTTGCAATCACCATCGCACCATATTGGTTGGAATTCCAACACTCTGAGCACAATGCTTTGAATTGATCGAATGACATGTCTGGTGAGACATGCTCGTCGAACACATGCTTCAAATTCATTTCATTCTGTCGAAATAACACCAACAGGTTACTGTTGTCTCGCACCAGCTGCTTCGGTATCTTAGAAAAAGTCTGGCATAGGTATGCTACGTCAATATCCTTGTGTCTACACATTGAAAAATATTCTCGAATTTTTTGCTGCTTGTCGCATGATACATCATCAAGAATGAATATCGAATTATTTTTCGCTTCTGATGGACTGATGACATCATCATTTTCTTTAAAGGGAAAATACCCAACACCTTTCACTGAATCCAACACTTGTTGCAGCAATTGATATTTCGGTTGGTGCAACGACTTTGAATACACGTAAACGTTCTTGAATTTCGCGCCATTTGGATTGAACAGCAGGGAAAGCATCGCATTGGTCTTTCCACATCCGCTTGGTCCGCAGAAGATTGCTCTGAACGAATGGGGAAGCAGTTTCCCATGTTTACTATTTACTGGTGGTTTGGTTGACAAAATTTCATCCAAATTCACAATGGGTAACATCCGTTCTTGTTGAATGATCTTCATCATGTGATGATATATTTTTCATTTCATTAGGTATATGCAGAGTTGTCGAACTTCCTACACATCAGTCTTCATGTTGCTCTACCACGGAGAGGGTGTGCTTAATTCTCTGATCGATAAACTTCCCATCGAATTACACATTCCAGGCTACAGATTTTGTGGTTCAGGTACCAAACTCGATAAAAGACTTGCAAGAGGAGACACCGGTATCAATCCGTTGGACGACGCGTGTCGAGTACACGATATCGCCTATTCACAAAATTCCTCAATAGAAGACAGGCACAAAGCTGATTGGATATTGGAAAATAGAGCGTGGGAGAGAGTCAAGTCGAAGAACGCTAAATTCAAAGAGAAGGCTGCTGCTTGGCTTGTCACCACCGGAATGAAGGTCAAACGAAAACTTGGCATGGGTCTTGTATCACAGCAATCCCTATCCAACATTATCAAATTCATAAAAAATGTACTATCAAAGTCAGATGGTGGTGGTGGTGGTGGTGGTAGTACAACATCAGGAAGTGGTCTGAATAAATCTGCATTGAAAGCACTCCGTGCAGCCAGAATGGCAATCAAGAGGGCTGGCGGTAAAAAAAGAATCAGAGTACCAAGAATCATACCTCTTCCACACAGTGGCGGTATACTACCATTGATACCAATCTTTGCCGCCTTGGGAGCCCTAGGATCTCTAGCTGGAGGAGCCGGAGCAGTCGCAAAGACAGTCATTGATGCAAAAAATGCAAAGAAAAAGCTCGAAGAAGATCAAAGATATAATAAAGCAATGGAGGCCATCGGCAAGCAGGGTTCCGACCTATTTCTACGCAAAACATCGAGAGGATTCGGACTGTACTTGAAGAAACAATCAAAAAACTCAAAAAACTTCTAGACAAGCTACCCAATAAATCAATGTACGATAAAGATGTGATAAAGTATGCCAAACAGCTGAAAATACCGAATTTTCGAGGTGTTTTTATGCGGGACACTCTGCCTTCCACCGGTGCATGGCATCGCGAGTGTGCTGTATTGAATTTGGATACCTCCAATCATGCGGGCACTCATTGGGTGGCTTACATTAAAAATGATGAAAAAGCCTTATATTTCGATAGTTATGGCAATCTGAAACCGCCCAGAGAATTGGCGCAATATTTGGGTGCCAGCACGAAAATCTTGTACAATAACAATCAATACCAAAATTTCAATCAAAGTAATTGTGGACGTCTATGTTTAGAATTCCTTTTTAATGAGACCAAGTAACTCGGTCATTGTGCATCAGTCATGTATCTGATTGTGACGTTGAAAGGTCGTACATCTACGCTCTCCATAGACTTTTTGACACCACTTCAACTCGATCCAGACTCTGATTACGGACTAGCATTATTGGGATTCCATTCATACAACAGTATACCAAATATAGATAAAGGATCAAAGTTTTATCTGCAAGATAAGACCAAGGCGGGAAAGATCATCGATATTCCCGAAGGTTCATACGACATTGCGGACATTGAGACATTCATACGCAAAGAATTGGGCATCTCAAGTGCAAAGGACGTTGATGATATATTCTCGTTGAAGCCCAACAATAATACACTAAAGTGTGAGATTTCGAGCCAAAGGTTTGCCATCGATTTTCGTCCAAAGGGTAGCATAGCTCAAGTCTTGGGATTTTCAAATAGATTGTTGAACGCACAACAAGTCCACACTTCCGATTTGCCGGTCAGCATAACCAAAGTGAGAACCATTCACATTGATAGCAACGTTACTGCTGGAGCTCTCTACAACGACAGACCATCACATACGATCTACGAGTTTGCAGTTGCAGTCGATCCTGGTTACGCCATAGACGAGACTCCCAGAAATCTAATCTATCTACCTATAGTCAGCAGGCGGGAATTGCCCAACATTACACTCCAGATTCTAGACCAAGATTTCAGGCAGGTGAATTTTAGAGGTGAAGAAATCATCATAAGATTGGAATTGAAGAAACTCGCAAGATGGTACTAGTGTTTGATTACTCCTATAAATCAGATAATATACCATCATCAGCAACATCATCGGCACCAGTTCTCTCGACACCGTGCACCAAAGCAGTCGTGTCTTCGAAGAGCAGCAGCAGAAAAACATTGACATTATCCAGTGTCCTGTTTCTGAAATCATTCAAAGACTACAATGTTGTTAGCACCCGTGTTCGACGTTTTCCGCAAACCCAGACTCGACGAAAGCATCACTAAAGTGGAATGGCGTACCTATTATCCATATGTGAAATCATTCGAGAACAATGATGTCATCGATATAACGGTTAATCAAGCAGATTCGTGGTTGGCCATGTTTGAAGGCATCATTACCATCAAGGGTAAATTGAAGGTGACCGGTGGTGGTACTGGTACATTAACCCACAATGCTGGAGCATATCTCTTCGATTCCTGCACCTATGAATTATGTAATAAAGAATTGGACACTGTCAGATATCCTGGAATAACGAGTACTGTGCGAGGATACTTGTGTTATACACCTGAAGACTCACGTCATCTAGCCATAGCAGGCTGGAACTATCCCAATGCTCCGATCCTCAACACCGATGGTACGTTTAGCATGAACATTCCACTGAAACATTTGTTTTCCATCTTCAATGATCATCGAGTGGCAACGTGGGGCAAGCAGTCAATCCGTTTAGTGAGAGCTCGCAATGATGCCAATAGTGTGAAGGTTGTCGAGAGAGCGAATACTGCTTTGCAAGGATCTCCTCAGACTCAGAGTATTGCTAAAATAACGATAGAAAGCATCAATTTGAAAGTGCCACATCTCACACCCAACGATGACATAAAGTTGCAGTTGTTGACACGTATCAAAGCAGATGAGTCTATGATGATACCGTTTCGCCGATGGGAATTGCACGAGCTACCAGCACTCACACAAGGATCTACCATAGAAATCTGGTCCGTAAAGACATGTTCTGCATTGGACAGTCCAAGATATGTTATAGTATTTTTCCAAACGAAAAAAGCCGATAATTTGCATGAGGATGTCACCTTGTTCGATAATGCCAACATCAAATCCATACGATTGGCTCTGAATAGCGACTATTATCCGCAAGAAAGAATGCTATTGGACTTTTCCCGAGACCAATATGCCGACGCCCACTTCAACTATACAGAGTTCAACAAGAGCTACCATAACTGTCAAGAAAAGCGCTCTCTAGTAAACTTTGCCGAATTCAAATCCCGACCAATGTTTGTTATCGATTGCTCGAGGCGCTATCTGGGTCTAAAGTCGTCCACAGTTGACATAAAGTTGGACATTGAAGCGACTACAGGCTTCCCTCCCGACACCAAAGCCTATTGCATCATCATTCACGATCAAATCATGGAACATCTCCCACTCAGCGAAATTGTTCGAAATATTGCCTAGGTGGGTGTTGCTGCATCAGTCAGACGTCAGTTTGCTTCGAAGAGTCATGGAGATCGCACTGGTTGACATTCAAGGGTTCACGGTTGATGGTGAATTCATTCCAAAGGAAATGACCATTCGCATTGGCAAAAAGACGAGTCATTTTCTTTTCAAGCCATCTGTAGAATTTTCCAGTTTGAACAAAGAAGATAAAAAGATGGCAAATCACCTGGAACGCTATGTGCATGGTTTGAGATATTCCAGTGGTTATGTGGATTTGAATGAGTTGGATCAAATACTACGAGATAATCTGCAGCAGACAAACATCATCTACGTAAGAGGTCATCAAAAGATTCAGTTTTTGCAACGAAAATGTGCAGAGTTGGAGATGAACAATCACATTGTTAATTTGGAAGATTTTGACAATTCTTGGTGGCAGCCAATAACGTTCCTACAATCCATTCCACCCTGCATGAATCATTTCCATGGAGGAAGGTTCCAGTGCAGTCTCCACAATGTCGATACTTTATATAATTGGTTATGTAATTTATTGCCAAAATAAAAAACTATATATCGTAATTTCAGAGTTTTTATTCATCACATCCCTTATTTCTCAGTATAATGAAAATAACATGCGAGATTAAAATGAGTGAACATATTAGTGTACAACAAAGTGTCAAAATTGCAATGATATTGACAGAATCTTGATCATCATCTAATTTTGCGGGTGATTTCTTCAATGTAAATGTCTGCCAGTCTCCCATTTCGCCGTCACTGCCATCAGAAAACGATAATTTCAATTTGTAGTCGATGGTGGTCCCATTGACTCGAGGCATGTCGATTGAATATACAGGTAGTTTGTTATCGTTGACATACATTCTACTCATCAGCTTCCAATCACACTGTTGTGTACGATTCACATCAAAACATACGGCCGCATTCCTCGTATTGTACGGTATGTTTGTGTAGAAGACGTTGTTGCTCAGAGCTGTCAATAGAATGAAGCTTGCTTTCAGTATCGCCATCTAGTAGCTGTGTTGGTTGGATTCTTCTCGATGTAGGAAACGTTGCAACTGAACGTCTTGGTTCTGTGAACACCTTGTCCCAAACACTCAATTGCTCGAAATCTTTGAACAAACAAACTTTCTGCTCATACAATTGGATGTCTGCACTGAGCTTTCTAACTTTCAACCCAAATTCTTCTAGTGCACGTCTGTATTCGTCAGAAGACATGATACAACTGTTTTTTACATCCATACCTTAAGACGAACGATTCACCGCACTCGCCTGGCGTTTCTAAGAGATGTCGCTACGGTTAACAAACTGTGATAAACATGAATAAAAATCCAACATCGAGAAACCGATGTAGAATTCTCTTGTTTCTTCATGTTGACGATGTTAGTATTATAAAGATTTTCAACAGGTGTCGCTTCAAATATTTATAGCGCCCTGATACCTAATTATTTCCACAAATAAAATTATGCAAATGAGTTTTCAATCTAATATAATCCTAAATTACATTCGATTTGATTGAGTGTCGAATTTTCGGATGCTCCTTCCATTTTGGGTTCAAATCCGAAGCGCATTCTTTCCACGAACCTGTATTTACTTCTTTATGGGCTTTGTTTTTTTATCGCGGAAGACACCGATCGAGCGACCGGTTAGTTAGGAGATATAAATAAATATATTATGTTATGAAGCTGGAAGTAAGTGTGATGACTATTGTATAGGCACTGAGGCACTATTACGGCAAGTAAAGAATACTTCACAGGGTTGGTCTAGGCGTGGCTGATGGTAGCTTCTTGAAATATTTTTTTTATCTTTCGGAACGCTCGAAAGGAAATGTTCAAGGAAGAGCGCACGTGCATGGGGTAGAAAGGAGAGCAGGTAGGAAATTGAAATTGCTTTGAATCTTATTTGGATATGAAAAATAATCGTAGATATATGATAGAACATAAGTAGATAGGATCATCAAATACCTTTTTGGTATATAATAGAAAGTTTGATTATTCAATGTATTATTTAAAATTAAATAATAAAATTGAACAAAAAATATTTAATACTATTATAATTTAATATAGGTATATCATTACTTCAAAATTCTAATATTCAATAAATATTATTCTTGATATCAAGGTCGAGAGAGACATCGGAACTCCTACCTATAAACCTCGCTATAAACCATATCTTCTTACCGTATTTCACATGTCGATATGAGTGAAGAAATCACAATATCATTATATAATATAAAATATTCCAAATAGGTATTGATATTTTCCTGGATATCCATATTTTAGATATCTGGGTGAAACGGCGGGTACCTACTCTGAATATTTATTCCACTGAACATGCCTCGACAGGATATCCTTCTAATATTATTTGGATGCCCAATGTGTGGATATCTGGAAATAAAATTGCGGACCATAGGATTTTGCGTGCGACAGTGGAACAGCTCAAATATGAAATATTATACGCGATGGATAATGATAATCAAGTACCTATTCAACTAGAGACTAGACCACTCTACGGGACTGTGGCTCAGCGTCGTCTAGTTGAATACTTGCAATGATACTTGCTAAACTTAGCTTATATTCATAGCATAAAATCTTTCATATTTGATCTGTTCCACTGTGCATGAAAAAACCTATGGTCCGCAATTTTATTTTCAGATCGGTATATAGAATGCTAATGTATAATTGGGGAGAATTCAGAACTCCTAATAATCGTATTTTGCAAAGTAGATAAAATCGAGCTCAAAATGTGATACACAATTGTCCAGTTCAGACCAAGGTAGATACAGTGTGTCCCACTTTAAACAGCACCACCTTCGTATTTTCGTATACACTGACCGACTTCAAGAATTTTTTTTTAACATGTACTACTCAATGATATCTACATTCCTGGATATTGAACTCTCTCATTCCTTTTGAACACAGCCACCTATGAACAAATATAAAAATGCAGAAAATCAGTAAGTAATAGCAGGAAATTTTTTAGCGGAAATCTGACTACAACTCTCTAAAATACATGTGGTCAAAATTTCACAATGATATCATACAGGGCATTATATGTATTATTAATTAACGTTCGATGTTCTACTATGATCAGAAAAAATATAATAATTTCATGATTTTTTTCAAATACCAATTGAACACATATTTTATACTATTTCTGATCATATACAGTGTGTTGTTTATACTATAGGAATCAATTATTTCTCGAATTCGCAAATTAGGTCGTTGAAGATGTATAGAACAATGGAAATCGAGATGGAAATATTTTGATTCGCAGAAAATTTGCGTTAGGAAATTGTCTACCTATAGAAAGGGTTAGGCAGGTTACATTTTTAGTTCGAGCAATATTTCTAGTTTCTTCTCGAAAATGAAATGATAATATAGTCTTTGCAAAGTCTCTTGAGACAACTTGATCAGAAGAGATCCGCCATCACGACCGTCGGTTCCTTTAAAAAGTTATAGGCCAGTCATTGGGGATTTTTACCTGGAAAAAAGTCCGGAAGTTTTGAATCTTTGTAGGATTATAGTTTTGGGTGTCCAGAACTAAAATTCACGAAATGCACATTCCGGGACATGCCGCCGGCGCCGCCATCTTGCCAAGATGGCGCTCAAAAACTGATTTTTGAAAATATCTCCAAAACGGTGCGTTTTTTAAAAAAATGTGGAGACATAAAAATTCAAGATGAAGAAATTTTCTACAAGAAATGTCCTCAGTATATTTTTGCTGAAGTGAGCCGTTTAGGCCCAAGAGCTGATTGAATGACATCATATTCTGTTAATTTCAATAAACTGCCCCTAACTATCTCCAAATATGCGTATAAATTTATCTTTTATAATGAAACGGATCTGCTTGGAAGCGCCTTGTACAGATGACTGAGGTAAATAGTAAATAGCCAGCGCCCGCAGAGCTACCAACTTTTTGAAACCCGAGCGCGCCAAATTTGAAAAATGAACCGCCCAAAAAATATCGCCCAATTTGTGTGATGTTATTATTTTTTCAAGGAGTCTAATGAAACTAATTTTTTTTTGCTATTCATATGTTTTTTTTTAAATAAGTACATATATTCAGCACATCAAAATTACTCGACCTACGGTCTCGCAATTTTTTCATGTCCGTTTTTCTCGTAAAATTACTGATTGGCAAATTGTGTTCGTTTGGAAAGGTAATTTAGTTGATGAAAAAGTTCTTGTGTTTTTACCGTTTATAAAAATATCTCATCTGAAATATATATTTTGTGTATTTACTAATATTGGGATGGAGTGGTGAAGACAAGAAAGCAAAATTTCAAATTTCATGAATTTATGGGCGGTTTTACAGTACGAGAAGGTACCTATATCTACGGATACATCGTATAGGTACGAAATTTACTCATAACCATCCTGCACTTACATACTTCTGGAGCAAAGTCGCCAGATTCGTCGATAAATGCAATTTCACAAATGCAAAATTTTTGTCGCATAATTGATCTGAAAATCGTCCAATATAACGAGGAACAAATTGAATAGCAAGAATATATGGAGATAGTTAGGGGCAGTTTATAGAATTTAACAGAATATGTTGTCATTCAATCAGCTCTTGAGCCTAAACGGCTCTCTTTAGCAGAAATATGCTCGGAACATTTCTTGTAGAAAATTTCTTCATCTTAAATTTTTATGTCTTTATATTTTTTCTGAAAACGCACCGTTTCGGAGATATTTTCAAAAAACCGTTTTTGAGCGCCATCTTGGTAAGATGGCGGCGCCGGCGGCATGTCCCGAAATGTGCATTTTGTGAATTTTAGTTCTGGACACCCAAAACTATAATCCTACAAAGTTTCAAAAGTTCCGGCCTTTTTTCCAGGTAAGCCTTATTTTGGATCCCCAATGACTGAACACCGAACGCGTGCCGC